GAGAAGAAGCAATCATTTTACCCACGACTTAAATAGTGTTTGCCAAGAGCAGAACAGTGAGACTCAGGCATCACGAGGCCCGTTACAGAATCTGGGGGACAGCATTCTCCCTCCTTTGGTCAAATTTGATGCATTTTTCTTTTTAGTAGCAGTATCTTGTTCCAACCTTGACTTTTTCACCCTCTCATCCCCACCCACCCTACTCATTCAGCTGGATCTGGCCTTTTTTGGCTTCTCTTACTGTGCCTCTTCAAAGCCTTTATGCACTCTCAACTCTCCCTCCTGCCTGTCTGTTCCCTCAGATCACCTCCACTTGCTTTTCTCACTCTGTGCCAATCCTGATCTCACCAGTTTCCTTACCCCACACCACCTTGTACCTAGATCTACTGCTCCAAATGGGACCTACTTCTCACTTGAGGCTGGTGGGATGTTGGTAGGCTGAGTTAACACGGGTGTCCTTGCTGTCACCTGCTGCATTTGTGCCCTACCCAGCAGAGAAAAATTGGAAGCCAGAACTGCAAGAAGAATCCCTTGAAACAGCTTCACAGCTCTGGATCAGACTATATTTAGTCACATACAGGATGTGGTGCATTCAGGGCCCGATCATAGGTAAAACTTAGGAGGGAATGGCACTTGTTCAAATCGGTAACATCAGCCAGTTCTGTATCTCACACAGTCCTGGTGTGGAAGGAATTAGGAGATATTTTAGCTGCTCAGAAGAAAGAAGTCTTTACCATGCATACTACTACTGCCCTTTCCTTGGAAATATTTATAAAACTCTGCAGGTACTAAAAGGAAAAGTGAAAAACATTGAATGCTTTTATGGAAGTTGTGTCTTCCCCACTCCTATTGCTCTTTAACTCCTAATTCAAAACAGGAAGGTGAGAGATGGACAAAACAAACTGCTTTCTCCTACCCATGGTCTTAGGACTGCATCAACCACATACGCAGAATCTTTCAGCTCAGCATAAGAATAAATCAGCGGCAGAAAATCAATGGGGGAAATGTTTCAAACAGGAAAAGTTTCAAAGTAACTAATGAAGCAGGAAAGCACTCTATAGCAGAAAATTGTGGCGAGCTTCAGTGTTACAAAGTACTGCCAGCCTCTTTTACACGTGCATTACATATTTAAGATATGTCATTACTATGGATGGCCCACAAAGATTCATCTACTTAACTCAATGCCTTGGGCACCTAATTCGGATCCCAGGTCTGTCAGGTTTATGGGTCAGCCTTGACACATACACAGAATTCAGCTGACTTGATGAGGCTGAGTAGACCTGGTGTTCAAACCCAGGACAGGACTGAAACCCCATCAAAGGCAACAGATTCTAGTTGGAGGAAGGATATTTCAGGCTGCTGCACTCTTACTGTTCGGCAAGCTCCATCCATTAGGATGGATTGACAAGGGTTGCAAGGGAGATTCTTGCTAAGTGCCATAACTCACACTCTATAAAACTAAAGCCTGAGCCAAGACAGTCATAATGAAGAGAGAAAAAAGATTTTCAGCTAACTGACAGAGAATACTAGAAAAACCAGCTTGCAGGGGCACAGGCTTTTGTCACAGTGACTGACATCTTTCCTATTTGGGAGAAATGAATGAAAGAAAAATGAGGAATGTATGTTGTCAAGTGGGTGTAACTCAAACCAAGCAAACAAAGGAGCACAGGAAAAACTCAGGCTGGCATCAAGGCTGCAAGAAAAGAAGAGAAGAAGCTGGAAGAAGGCTGCACATACCCTTGGATGTGTATCCTTCATATTGTCTCAGATTTCAGCACGTTAATGAAAATTGGGTGCAATTCAACAGCATCCAATACATTGAAGCTGCGGAGTTTCTGCAGAACACTCCCAAGCTGGCTGTGGAATTCAGTGTTATTGCTTCTGTAGTGCTTCTGCTGACGTGTTACCTCTTATCCTGAGAGCAAACACTGCATCATACATTGCAAGTCCTGCACGTATCTATATCCACATTTCTAAATGGAAAACTTGCTTTGGTACAAAGGAATAGCACACAAGGCTCTGTTAGAGCTTTCAGTTTAGCTTAGTGTTCAGTTATGATGTAAAGCCAAAAGCGGTTTTCCTTATTGTTCCTTATAGCCTTCCCAGATCTTCCAGCCACAGACACATTGTTTAAGCCACACATAAACACCCATGGCTAACGTCAAATTTTCATTCAGTGGAAAGCACATGAAAAAGCTACTTTCCTTCTGTGTGTTACTTGCCTACAAAGCTGGAATCTCTCTTTGTGAATTCCTGGTGATGACCCGAAGCAGTTGTCAAAGCCTGTTCCATATCTGGCATTTTAAGAAATTCCTATGAATTTATTCCCTTACAGAATCACTCCGTCACCACTTGGCACCCCTTCTGTAACAGATGACAAGTTGAAGGACTTCATGATCTCTGAAAAAAGGCAAACCCTTAACCGGACTTATGTTAACCTCTTGTCATCATGTCTCTGCTGCAGTTATCATACAAACATCAGAATCTGAATCATTAAAAAATAAAAAAAAAAGCAAGCCAGGATGGCTTAATACTGAATCAACAAAAGTAATCATATGAAACCAGTTTGTTGTTGTTTTTAAAAGATGCAATAAAAGCAACAGTAAAACAACTTTCTGCTCTTTAGAATCTGGGTTGATCACCACTGAGAACATGAAGCACGTTTGCTTCTTTGGCACTACGCCCTTTACCATAAGTAATTGAATTTCTCCCAAACCCCTCCACCTACCTAGGAATTGGCAACAAACACAATATTGATTGCTGAACCTGAGGGCTGGCTGGCAGCACTCCCTGCCTGGTGTGACTCAAGGCCCTGCAGAAGTTGCTCTAGGATTAGTCATAACTTTACAACTTGCTCTCCTGAAAAGGTGAGCACTGCTGGGTGTGCCTACTGGAGTCAGGTGTTAATAGGTGCCCTAGGACACGTTTCAATTCAAATGGAGTATTCTCTAATTTGGCAACTCTCAATATCTCACACTTAGAGCACAACCAGGGCATCGCTGGCAGTGAATCCAGAAGCCAGGACCATCTGCTTGGAACTGACAACTTGTCTTTCACCACCAGCTACCTTACCCACCCTCTAGAATTTCATGTTTGTTAAGAGAAGGGGCAACATGACCTTGTGAAAAGTTGAAATCCTCAATATAACTTACCAGCCAAAAATCAGATGATAAGTTCATTATGGGGCCTTTTCCTAGTGAACATTTTTCACCTATGGGTGAAAAAAGTCACATGGCCACGTGCTGCACTTTGTATGCTAATAATGATCATTTCACTGTGATTATGTGAGCAGGATGGGCTAATCTAATTTTACAGGCTTTTTTAGACTACTGTGAGAGAATTACAGATGGCGTACTAAATTAGATTCTGTATTCGTGCTTCCTATATTTTCTGCAATCTATTCTTCCAGTGTGAAGCATAATTTTCTAGGACAACAAATTTTAGAGTCAGTTTCAATCTGCATAATGTATAATGTCATATTCAATCTGTAATTTGGGTAGTTTTGATTTATCCAACAAAAAAGAAGCGTGCTCATAATTCAGTCATGCCAAGTCATCACCTCTGGCATCCTGAGAGCTCCATGGTGGTTTAGCACCAGCTTTTCTCGTATTTATTTATTTAAAAACTGCCAGAATAAAACAGCTCTGCAGGTTAAATAATAACAGGACTTCCCTGCTAGACCTGTGTTCTGCCAACATGCAGCTACATGTGTCCTGTGTGGAGGGCAGGATCTCAACACAAGAGGTCGGAAGGCTTGCTGAGAAAACCCTGGGGTCTTGAGAAATGAAACAGAGAAATGAAAGAAACACGGCATGGTGTGGGTCTTCCTTCTGTTATACACCCAGGTTTCCTCAAGTGTTGACAACTTCATGTATGCTTCAAACCACAGCATGCATGTTAAGTGGAGATGACCTGACTCCCATAAACAAAACAGCAATGGGAGCAACCTACCTTCTCATGCACATGCATGAAACCACATATAAGGTCAGTATCAGCAGAGAACAGAGAAGGAAGCTGGCATGCTTCCTTCAAACAGACAGACTGACGAACTTATGGGCAACACTGATCAAGTATAACCAGTCTCAAATAAGTGTTAATTATAACAATCATTACTATATGGATTGGCTACAGTCTGTCTTGAGTTTCAGAGATACAGCGAATCTTGGCCTTGCTAATTAAAATAAGCTGTGGCATCTGTTAGCTATCAGTCTTTTATCTAACAGAAAACCGACAAAATAGCACAGCACCTGGATAAGCATGAACATCTTCTCCTCATACACAGGGTGAGGAACAAGCTCTTTAACAGACAAACTAAAATGTTACAGAACTAAACTCTGTTTAGTTTTTCATTCTAACTGTATTAAGGAACAAAATTTGCATGCCAAAAATATTCATACTTGTTTATATTCTCCAACGTGCCCTCACTTTGTTTTTCATTATTTTCTTTTGACATCCAGTTCTCAGAGTCAAAGGAAATGAAAAAAAGAAAAAACCTCTGAAACAGACTTCTATGGTGGAGAGAAGTCAGTGTATTTGATTTCCAGTTCTCAGACTCACAATGACAGGAAAATGTATGATGATGGATTAGGTTGGACTGTGAATTCCATGACATTCTAGAGAAAGATAGAGCACCGTTTTCTGAAAATTGGTTGGACTTTTTAATGACCTACTACTACCACAACAGGCACCAAATATCAAGAGTATGTACAACATGTGGCACAGTGCAGGATTACCACAATGGAGTCTCAAATTCTCTAAGTTTGCAGTTTTTCTGAAAATTTTCTAATCTTCTGTTTCTCTGGGTCTTTTGAAGTACTTCACATATAAGATATAATCCGATTCTAAACTTTTGTGCCTTCAGAAAGAAGGAAAACATAGTCATAAGAAAAACATACAGTGAAAGTATGTTCTCAAATTCTCTAAGTTTGCAGTACTCCAGTGTTTGACAAAAAGAGTCCTCAAGCAAAGTAAGCTAAAAATTAGATAAGCTGTACTCAACGTGCCTGAGAAATGAAGTTGTTTATTTTTCCAGGTAAAAGCAACAGGTGAATTTCACAACATTTTGACACAGCAACAAACCCTGGTCTCAGAAACTTGGATCTCAGTTGCTATTGCTCCTATTTCCAGTAACTTGTAAATTCCAGGGAAAACTCCTCTTGCGATAAAGCCACAGTTATACAGACACACAACTTTTCACTGTCAAAACAAAAATCAAACCAGAGCTTTGTAAACAGCATATAGCACTGCACAATATTATAAAATGTGGCTGAAGAGTTGCCAGATTTACAAATAATAAATCATTATAGTCAAAAAAAAGCTATAAAACAAAACAGACACACATAGGGATTGATTTTTGCAATTATTATTAATTTAATATTACCTGTAACTTTTTTTTAAGCACCAGGACTCACGTTTACTCAAAAACCTCATCAAAACCACACAATATAGAATTTGACAAAAATAACTTTGTATGTCAATTATTTACTACAACTCTGAGGAGAAGGATGAGAATGGTAGGGAAAGATACTGTAGTTTTATTGGGTGGGGGAAGTTGGATTGGTTACATTCTGGAAAATGAAAGAAACATTTTCTTTTATCCTTTCAAGAAAAGGATCAGGTAGAGCTTGATGTTGCCCAGAGAAATGCTTCCATTGCATCAACTGTGACATGGAGAGAGGTTTCTTTAAATTATGCTTCCCCTGGTCTTGTCTGAGCTGACAACATCTAGACACTGAAGGCTTTTGTGAAGAAGGATCTGAAAAAAGGATGCAGAAAATTAATCAGGGAAAACTAAGAATATTTCAGTGTGAGTCAATAAGACAGTTGGTGATGAATGGGAAAATAGAGCAATGTAAAGAATCCTTCTATGTCAATGAAAACCGAACATTTGTATCCATAGTAAGAGGGGAAAGGCTGTTTCTTGCTCATGGATCAAGTTTATCAAAATCACCATATGCTATCTCAAAGATGAATCCTTTCACAAATAGATAGGAAGGGAAATATCCTATCTGGCAATTTCCTTTCTTCCATCTTCCTAATTCTGTAATATTTGGGTTTCTTCCCATTCTTTAAGTAATTCTGAATATAGAAGTATCTTACAGCAAAACTCAAGCCAGTTTCTATTTCCTCCCACAAGAGTCATTCCAACCAGCTAAGAAGAGTTTGAACAGTTATTTCACTGAACTTAGCACACTAGAGGTAGATCTCTAGTGCACTCTGTACATTCACACTATGCCAAGTTGCTCAATAAATGCTATATTGTATACTGTGTATCACAGTAAGAAAAAGACAATTCCCTGTGAAGCACAAAGAGAAGAATTCACTTTGAATTCTGGAGATTCTAGGGATTCTAGAGTGCCAAGCAACAGCAGGTCATTGCAGGGTATGTCATGTATTGCTGACTTCATGATTCACCTGATGCATGTGATAAATAAAGAAATCAGTTGTGATGGAAAAAACTGCATCACTGCTGTTACTGATTTAAACCATGTCATCAAATACTTTCACAACCAAGTTATATGTTTCTTAGCAAGTGACATAAGCAGCATGATGACTCAGTATTTTCAAGTTTTTTAAACTTTTGGAGAGACCATAATGACTCCCATATGCAAGACGTTCCTTCTGACTGATGATACGCATTTGCACTAGTCTTGAAATTTATTATTTTTCTGTCCAGCAGAAAAATTAGATTAGATGCATTTCTCAAGTACTTACAGATTTTGCATTCCTAACTTCATAAATAAAACCATGATCAAGTAAAATAATAGTACTATACTTCGCAGCTGATCTGACAGTCAGAAAAATAGCAGGCAACCCATCTACAGAACTCACACAAAATAGCAGGCAACCCATCTACAGAACTCACACATAGTTAATTACTTCCTTTCAAAACTCCTGTGGCTTGCTAAAGATTGCCCCAGTACGAACTGACAACAGGTCAAGACCATACAGTCACATTGGTAGATATAATGAAGACTCTGAAAAGTTCATACATTGTGAAGCCTGTATAGTATTGTTTAGCTCCAACTTAGTTCATCTTTTGAATCATACTTGCTAGAAATGGAGACGACAAATCGGTAATAGTTCTTAGCAATTTCTATGTAACAATGTCTTTTTCCAGGAACTAGGAGCTGGTTCCGCAATGAAGTATCTGACAACTTTCTCTTCTTAGTAATGTCAAAGAGATCAACTAATGGCAGCTGCATTCTGACTCACAACCATGACTTGTAAAACCATGACTCATAACAATTTGACAAGGAAACTGATGAGCCAATTTGTTCTCTGCTCTTTAGGAAGCCAAACCTTTCCCAATTCATTCTATCATTTCTAACATTGAAGTTTAAAAATGTCTTTCTGGTTTTCCCTTGATTTACCATCATAAATGTTCCATTTGCTGGGACCAAGATACAATTACCCTTGCGGGAGTCCTGGTTACATTCAATGCCCCGAGTCCCAAGAAACTGATGCTGGAATCAGTATGCATTCAAAGAATAAAATAAGCATTCAAGAGTGTTAAGACAATTGCAAAATCTTGATTAAAACTATATGCATTAGTGTTCATCACAGAAGAAATATCAAATTTCTTTGGTTTCTGAAGTACAGAAGCTCTACCTGCATCACTGCACAACAGTGAAAAAAAAACAGTAAGATTTAAGACCACAGCTGCATTTCCTACACAGATGCTTTAACAGTACCTAAATGGAGGCTGGCATAATACAGAACATCACCTACTCATATGACAAGTGGTTTAATTTTTTCAGTCATAAAGAAACATACAAAGACTATGAAATCATTGTGTGGAGCAGAAATAAGGAAGAAACTCCAATTGTCATGGATACAGCAGCATTGTGCTTTCACTAACCAAGTCCTTCCCGTTTTGGATAGACAGAAACAGCTCTAGCCTATTTTCCAAAAACATGAAAACTACCAAGCAAAATAGTCATCAGGTTTGCATTACTTAATTGTGTTCTTGTGTTTTACTTAGTTGTGTTAACATGTGTACTCACAGCCATTCCTTCGTGGTTTTTTTACTGTGATATTTGTGAATACTGTATATACATATTTCATACTCCAAGAAAAAAAATGTACCCAGGCAATAGACACTTTTTTCTTTAGCAAATTGGAAACTGCAGCTATCATTACTGTCCTCGAATATTTAGAAAAAAAAATACACAGCACTTGTTGGTTGTAATGAATCCCTACCTAAACTGGCCATAGCTAATTCAAATAATTAAGAGGCACAATATATGAATTGGTTGTTACTGCAAGGAATTAATATTTCTTCTCTTCATCTTATGAAGGGCTCCTGTGTATCAGAAAAATCAGGCAATGTCTGGCTGGTCCCAAAATGAATCTCACTGCTTCAATTCTGTTTTACTGAGCTTTGTACTTTTCTCCAAAGACAGGCGATATATTCCAAATGGATACAGTTCATCTGTAATAGCCAGAGATAATGAAAAAGAAACTCACTTTGATGGTCTTTGTTTCCCATACAATCACATTCAAGTAAGTCATGGGTAACACAGCTGGAATTCTCATGAAGTGTAAAGAGATTTCTGAGCTCCTCAACAGAAAAATGGATATGTTCAGATGTCTTGGAAAGGTCTACAACTGCCCCCGAAAGGTCCTGTTTGCTGATCTGTCTTTGATAAATCTTTTCTTCTATTGAGCCTGTATTGAAAAAACAATATATACACTGGAATAATTTTTTAGCAGTATATGTCAAGAAGAAAAGTAAAATCCATTTCTTGATAACGGGCACTATGGAGGGACCTGGATAGACTGGATCAATGGGCCAAGGTTAACTGTATGAGTTTCAATAGGGCCAAGTGTTGGGTCCTGCACTTTGGTGACATCACCCCAGGCAACCCCACAGGCTTGGGGAGGAGTGGCTGGAAAGCTGCCTGATGGAAAGGGACCTTGGTGTACTGATGGACAGTCAGCTGAATATGAGCCAGCAGTGTGCCCAGGTGGTCAAGAAGGCCAATGGCATCCTGGCTTGTATCAGAGATGGTATGGTGAGTAGGACTAGAGAAGTAATCCTGCCCCTGTACTCAGCACTCAGCAATCCTGCCTCACCTCGAGTACTGTGTTCAGTTTTGGGCACCTCAGTACAGAAAGGACATTGAGGTGCTGGAGCAGGTCCAAAGAAGGGCAACAAGACTTTTGAAGAGTTTGGACAATATGCCCTACGAGGATAGATTGAAAGAACTGGGGCTGTTTAGTTTGGGGAAGAGGAGGCTGAGGAGAGACCTTATTGCTCTCTTCAAACACCTGAAAGGTGCTTACAGCGAGAGTGAGGTTGGTCTCTTCTCACTGGTGACAGGTGACAAGATGAGGGGAAATGGCCTCAAGTTGTGCCAGGGGAGGTTTAGGTTAGGTATTGGGAAAAACTTGTTTACAGAAAGGGCTGTTAAGCACTGGAATAGGCTCCCTAGGGAGGTGGTTAAGTCACCATCCCTGAATGTGATTAGAAACCGTTTGGATGTGGTGTCCAGGGACATGATTTAGCGGAGGGTTGTTAGGGTAGTATGGTTAGGTCATGGTTGGACTCTATTATCTTTATGGTCTTTTCCAGCATGAGCAATTCTATGACTCTGTGGTTCTATGATCAATATTCATGGAAAATGCTGAACCACTATTTTCAGATATAAAAAAAAGAGCACAGAAAATGCAAGGAGAATCAAGGAGATGGATCTATTTTAACTGAATTCAGAACAAATTAAATATATCTTTCAAGAATGATTTATTTCCAAAAAGTCCCTCTCTTTCTTCTACTGCCAAAATTTCTACAGAATATGTTAGAGCACAATCTCTGACCTGTGGTTAGAAGTCTGTAGATATGTACAGTATGTTTCTGACCATCTCTCCACACTCTGGCCATTGCCTGGAGAAAGGGAAAAGATAAAGAGTATTAAAAGCCTATTCTAGGACAAAATTTCTGCTAAAACTTGTATCCTCTGCTGATCAAATTACTGGTTCTGCTAGCTCACGCAGAAAGAAATAATAGCTGTCATTGACTGTTTTTATAAAAGTCTGCCGGTATTAACTGTAAATTATTTTGAAAACGTAACTTGCTTTGTCCATCTGTTCTCCTCTTTTTTTGTGTATATTACAGTAGGAAAGCAGAGGTTTAATTTCCTTTCTGTCAGCAGTCCTTTCTTCATATCTCTTTTCTAAGCATTAGCAACAGTTGATTATTTCAATAATACATCTCCAATTTTTTTTTTTTTTTGTGCCACAACACATCTTAAAAGGAATGGCATTGCCATTCCTTTTAGAATTGTAGGATCAGTGTTTCACATGTAATTCTTAAACAAAAAAAGTAACTGAGTACCATTATATAATTTTAGTAAAAAATGTAAGGGTTACATTACATATTAGGTACAAGTACCCACAACATGGTTTGCAGTTTTTGGCAAACTGTAGTAATTTTGGCTGATATAGCAGACAGTGTTTAGAGCAACAAAACAAGTGACCACATGGGGGTACTAATTCACTCTTGGAACAGGATCAGGGCCAAGAATCAGAGGTTATTTCATGTATCAGTATTTAGTATTCCTCTACAGAGAGACATTCCTTACTTAATTCATAAAAATATATATTTTTAATTGTTATTATTAAGGACTATTTTAAATGAACACTCTTATGCCAATTAAATAATCCCTTACAACCAAGGGCACTGTTACAAGCATAGCATGGCACTGGCTTTGCTTTCTTTTAATATCATTGACACGTGTTTACTTCATTCCCTTAATTCTGATTGGAATCTCTCCCTTTTCTTACATATAGCAAATCAACAGTAACACATCCTATATATTCTAATCATAGTTTTCTTTTCTTTATAGAACACAACAGCTTTCCAGTTAAAAAGTAGGCAGGAAAAAAAAGGGATACATGACTCGCACCTCTAAAGAAACCAGACTATACTCTTCATGCACAGGAAGTTCTAATGATACAAATATACACATTAAGAACAGATAAATTTTTCTTCTTTTCAGAGGTTTCCTCTGTTATTGTATTTGTCCAGGCACAGGGTGATAGCTGGGTAGCAATAAGACATGTTAAGTCAGGCATCTCAAAATCAGCCAGGAGCTCATTTGATACCCATCACAACCCACAGTACACAATTATATCAGACCTGAATATCCGTAGCTGGATTCCAGTCAATATCATAAAGGACCAAGTGAGAAGCTCCAACCAGATTCAGTCCCACTCCACCAGCTTTTGAACTCAGCAAAAAGATGAAAGCTGGACTGAATTTACAATTAAAACTATCAACAATCTGTTGCCTCTGGGAGACGGGAGTATTTCCATCAAGTCTAGTATAAGAATATCCATAACGTTTACATGTCTCCTGTAGTATGTTCAGTGTCTGAGTGTAATTGGATACCAGTACAACCCTGTCAAACAACGAAATCAAGTTATCTCAAAATGTTAGAGGCAGGTAAGGTTAAAGTACAATAACAAATAACTGAAAGCAATTAAAAAAATGAAATGACAAATCTAGCAAAAATTAAACATCAAGTTGAGGTTACTCATATTTGCTAAGAAATAGAACTCAAGATAATTTGAAGCACACACTATATTTGGACACATTATGTCTTACCATCAAACATTCAGATGTTAAATAATCAATGTTTTCCTTCACAAGAGAATTTGACTTAATGTATAGATTACAGGGATCCAGAACCAAACACAGAATTTTTTAAAAAATCTACATTTACATTATATACATTATATACATTATATAGCTGCTCTTAAGGCAGCATTTGCAGAGGACGCTGTAGCAACTAATAAATGTAGATAACTCTACTTATGGGAAAAGCTAATGAGAACTTCTATAGACAACTGAGAAAATTTCTGATAAACAAGATCATGAAAGCCAAATAACAAAGCAATTACTCCTTCCTACATTGTTTCACTGAAAATAAATGGAATGAAGCACGATGAAAGATATCACAAACAATACAGTTTCATTTTTTTTTTAAATAACTCAGTCTCTTGATTGACTAACCCTAACAACACATCCTAGGTCAACATTATTTCTCTTAGTTTTTGAGTAAGTAAAAAAAACCTAAAAATCTAAAAGATCTAAAAATTTAGTATTTCTGTTCTACGAAGTACTGATACTACTGTGAGGACAAATATCTTTTTAATTTAAGCCATAAATAAGACAATAACCACAGTTAGGATATTTTTTTTCTGCAAGAAGTCTAAAGCAAATGTACAAAATTTCATCAAAAATGGAATTTAATTTTTTTTTTTTTTAAATTAAAAACAAGTACTGAAGAACTATAAAAGCAGTTTTGGGGAATATCTGGTACATTAACATTTTTAAATTGTTACAAAGTTTTATTATTATTGTAGTTGCCTCTACAACCAAATTATATCTAAAACACATTTGTAAAGATTTTGCAAGATAGGTTTTTTTGTTGATCAACCTTAAATTCACACCTTTTCACTCAAAAGCAGAATATAAACTTCAAAGGAGCACTGGAATTGAATCTGTATATTGCAAAAAAGCTATTTAGTGATGATAGAGAGAGCTGGGAAACAGTAGGAAGAGAAACATGAACAGTACTGTATTAAAGCAAAAAAAAAAGTTGGAAAAGAATGCCTCAAAATTAGCTGTAACTCATCAGCTCCCACAGCACTGACACAGGGAAAGATGCTTTTTTCTTGATACCTTAATTCTTTTGACTTAAAGGAAAAAAGGCTATTATGTTTTGATATTTAGCTGTCATTGGTTTCAATGTATGCAAGGCATATAAACTCCCACGATAGGCTCCGATTTCTGGTTTGTAAAAAGAGAGCATCAGGAAGAAACAAATTCCATTACATCAGTGTCAAGAGATTGGCTGTAACTTCTCACTACTGAATTACAGAATGTCTTATTTAAGCACCAATTAAAATAAAAGGTAAAAGGAACTACTTTTGGAAGAGCTGAGCTTCAAGGCATGAGTACATTAAAAAGTTATCATGAGACACAAGGTTGTGTTGAGTTTTCCATGAATCAGCAATTTCACAGTTATATTCAACAATGTGTAGCCCATTACACTATCATAAACAAAGGTTTTCCTGTGTGTCAGTGACATTCACGACAGGGCAAATAAGCAGTTGCAATGCAACTTCACCTGATGAGTCTTCTAGCCCTGGATGGAAAAGGCAGCAAGCACTGAGCAGCTAAACATGATTAAAAAGGAAAGAAACTCATAATCCGGTCATTAAAAATATTTTTGTGAAATTTAAAATATTGAATACATTAAATAATTGCCTTAATAAGATACAAAGCATTGGGAACTCTTTGTAGATAAAGATAATATGTCATAGTACAGGGGCTGTAGCTAACTCTACCTTAGTTGTAGGAACTCAATATGAAAAATACAAGTATCTTTATTCGGAAATCATAGAAGAGCAACTTTGAAAATTGTGTCAACTACAAATCCTAGGTTAAGAATTAATGAAGAAGAGCCAGGAGTACAAAGCATAAATATGTCTGGTACCTCTGCAAACAGCTGCAAAGGCTTTATTTTGAATAGTATGTCCCTATTACACAACTGAAAAGCAAAACAATACGTAGCAGGTCACTCCTATCATTTGCCTTTTACCTTTCTTTCACACTTGCCTTTCAGAAGAGCTGAGCTCTCGGATTGCTGCTAACAACTTCACCAGCACCTGCAATTTTCCTGAATCGGTTTCAGAGAAAATGTCAGAAGTATAATCTTGTGGAAAGACATCTGTTAGACCTTCGTAGAGACTGGACTCAACATGCTCATCGCTTTTCGGATCACAGGATTTTTCCTATTAAAAATAAAAGGATTCAAGCTTCACATCCCCACTAAAATATTTGACCTTTTTTTTTTTGCGTTGTCTTATTTCTAAAAATTTGCTATATTATCATTACAAAAAGAGGTATCAAAAGCTATCACAAAGTAGTGTATCGCATGAGCACAGTAAGCTTCCAGTACTGTATTGATACAGTTTTAAAACAGTGAGAGCATTTACTGTGATTTACATCCTCTAGTCCAAGATTTTGTTTACAGCTGGGTAGACAGCAACATGAAATACTAGAAAGTGAAAAAAGAAATTTACTTCTATTTCTCTACTTCAACAACTACACAGATACACATCCACAGCAAAGCCACAACTTAAAAATTAGGGAAAAAAAATCAAGATGTCATTAGGTTTCCTTTATTGCAAGGGAAGTGAAAAAAAAAAAGGAAAAAAAGCTGGCAAATAATAACGTGCTGTAACTTGCAAACTGATGTTTCCTGGGGAGGAAAAAGCCAGTCTAACCAAACCCCACAACAGTAATAAATGACCTGCACATACAGTCCTTTCAATGCAGATAATTTCCAAAGGGTTATGCCTTCATTTATGAAAAATTCAAATGGTTATAAAATGAAGTGAAGGCAATTCACTTTATTTGTCAGAGTTGCAGTTTACAGAGATGTCTGCTGTGAACAGTCCTGCAAATTCACAAAGAACATTTTTTAACAAACATTTATTTACATTTACACTCACCTTACTCGCACTTGGACTATTATTGAAATAAGTTAGTAATACTAAGTTCTATCATACAAGTTACCTGTAGGAATGAGAACATTTATGAGAAACTAACAAGGTGTAGAGGGTGACGGGATTCCAGGAAAATGAGGCAGCTTGTACCAGTGATGTGTCAAGCCTGCAGCTGTCAATATCACTAAACTCAAGACTGTATCAAAGAGAGTTTCATGGGAACCAGCAGACAGAGTATACAGAATAATCTCTAGCAGAGTACTCTTTGGAAAGCCCACATTTGAATGTATTTTTACAAATATTCAGGGACCACACTGGGAGGGAAAATACATGAAGGTAAGGAAGAACAAGAAAATAAGGTGCTATGAAGGTGGAGACATACCTACATTCAGGTTCCCTAACATTTACATTTTTGAAAGCCAATCTCCTAAAGCAAGTCAGATGTGAAAACAGCATGGAAATGACCTTAATTGACATGCACATTGACCAACACATATTTCTAGTGACCTCTGTCAGCTGAAATGACTACTTGCAGGCACCCACCCCCATGCAGATAGATACCTTTACAGCTTTAAGCAGAAGACATGGATGATTGCAAAGTTTTTTCAAAGCTCCTATACATATTAGGTGAGGACTATTTTCTAGCCTGCCTTGTAGACAGGAGGTAATAACATGAGAACTGAGCAGTTTTCGATACAACTCAAGCTGTAGTGCTGTTGGTTGGCAGAAGATAATGTTCTCCTTTTTCGGTGGAAGAAATTTGTTTATAACCTCCTGTGTTCTCCTAAGAACAAAGAGTCCAGTGAGGCGTGTGAGTTCTGCTGCTCTTTTTTCTCCTAAATCCTTTTCTTCCTAAAAGAATGAAGCATAAAATTAATGCTCATCTTGCATTTCATCAAAATAATTTTCTATATTATTTTCATTAGGTAGTTAGTGAATATTTGAAATGCACAATATCACTTCCAGCATGAGAACATAATGATCCATTCCATAATTAGTACCACTGCATTAGCTTAATTCTAGTTTGGTTTCTAAAGTCTTAAACAAATGAAGATAATGTCTGCGAAGATACACAAGGTTCAAATTATATTCCATAAATTTCTTGATTGATGTAATAAAATAATACAGTATTGTGGAGAAATTAAGAGATAACACAGTATCCTCATATGGTAATTTACATGACAGTTTTGGAAATTCAAGATGCTGGATGCCTGATAAAGAGCAGCCATAATCTCAATATGCATGTATTCCTCACCTGCCTTTGGAAAACAACCAAGTTTATTCAAATAAGAAGCTGAAAAGCTGTTGTTCCCATTAATAGTCCTGAAGTTCATCTATTCCACAGAAAGCAAATTTCACATTCTTCTCTACTAATTTCCTTCTATAATTGCTTTTTTTTTTTAAATAACATACCTTTGTTGCTGAAGGTTCTCTGGATCTGACGATGGGCTCCTCATATATCTTTCTGTATGTGGATAAAGAACCAAGTACTCCTGGATTTACAAATTCTATTAATGCATAAAATTCTTGTAAGTCATTTTGGATTGGTGTACCTGGAAAGAGAGAAAAATAATTCTGTATCTATAATAATGTATTCATAACAAATAATTCTTGAAACTGACAGAGGTACAATTGTTGAATGCAGAGTTTAAAATTCATAATGACTCTTAATAAGTTATTTTATTTCAATTGGAATTACTCAGAATATTGAATTAATCTAGAACTCCACTCTGATTAATAAACTACCATCTTCCTAACTGAATAACTGCATATCTAGTTGGTTTGACAAATGATAGATTCTAGAAGTTATTTTGTTAAATAGCTGCAAAGGAAAATAATGAGTGTATAAAAATGGAGTCCTGATTCCCTAACAGAAGTTCCACAGCTCCTTACACATCCCTTAAGTTACACAAATTTTGCTTGTCACTCTTTTTTTTCTTTTTAAAAATCTGTTTTTAAAAGATCCAATATTTGTGCATTTAATACCTATTGCAAAAGTTTATGTTGTGTTTCTGTCATATTTACAATATCCTTTTTCCTTTATGCTAATCTGGCACTTTCAGCATAGCTAAACATTAACATTTATATTAAAGTATAAATACTAACCAGTAAGGATAATTCTCCTCTCACAAGGCAGACTAGTGAGGGCTGTAGTTGTCTTAATAGAGCTATTTTTCAGACGATGTCCTTCATCACAAATCAGGAGGTTAAATTCTATAGCCTGAATTTGATCCAGAGATCGTAGTAGCATCTCATAGCTGATTATCATAACTGAATAAAGTGGAGAACTGATGAATTCTTCTACTTTATGGTCCTACAGGGATTAAAAAAAAATATAACATATAACTGCATTTTTCGAAATCACCCATCATACTACTTACAAATCTGGTGGCTGCAGAATCTTTCCCAGAATGACACAAAATATTGACTATCTCCTTCAAGAGCTGGATTCTTGATTGTGTCTTAATTTGCAAAGCAAAGAAGGGATCTGATATGGCAATTATTTTTTTTTAGCTTTATCACCCCATTAACAGACAATTCATTACTCTTTTAGACCTTGAGATCCTCTGAGATATATTATCATCGAGGTGAGAAAATGTTACAGACTCCCTGGAATAACTTCCCTGTCCTGGTATTTAGGTAAACTAAACAACTACAATCAAGATAACAAACAGGCAATTGGCTGCCTACACATCCTCTATGGGATCCTAAGCTGCAGCGTCCAGCAGAAAGTTACCACACTCTGCCAAATTAAAATTCCTCTTTTAATTTTGAATTGAACATGATATTCACTTTGTTAAAAGCCTTTAACATTGATGGGTTGGTCAAAAGGAAAGCACAGTGTTGGACTCAGAAAATTAAGCCTATAACTAACCCTAGAAAACATGACTATTCATTGGTAAATATATGCAATTCATCTCTGAACAGCACGTTACTGGTCAGAAAGCATCTCTGAGCCACTCACCCTTACGTGTCCTTCAAATCCCTTTTTTTTTCAAAGGACATTCAGACTTCTTTTCCTAAACTCTTAAATAAAACAACCAGAACCAAATGTGGCAAAGAGGAAAACTGTTTATCCAGGTTAGAGCATTCAAGTCTGACCAGAATTGAATCTGTACAGTTCTAGACCTCGGAGACAGAACTGACTTCAAAAAGAAACATATTAAGTTAATAAAGCACTGTAATGTGAAAGGGAGCTTCTTCCAAAAAAAGGTTCCTAAAAGTGTCTACATTTATTTACAGACCTGTGAATGCAATAATAGAATTGCGCACCTGTCTGGTAATCACACATAAAAGTGGAAAATTCTTCTGTGGCCCATCCCTTGTCTCTCTGCTGAGTTCAAGATACAAAGGCCCTGCACACTCCTTCCTGTGTCCTAACAGTGTTCATTGCCTATACATGCAATGGTCCCAGCTGACAAGCTGAAGAATCTCTTTGATCTTTAAAGCAAATCAAGCTAGAGCTTCAAAAGGTAGTGTTATTTCCAAACAAGATCAGTGATCAAACATAAACAACTAAGTCTGGGGCCAGACAGCGTAAATACACTCAAAGAACAGTACCACTTAGTTATCAGAGCCTCGAGAGCCTCCTGTTTGTTGATTCAGATGAATCTATGGGCCGAATCTGGCAAGTTAACCCCCCAGAGTACCTTGTGGGAGGTGAATCCCCACAGCATGCTCATGGAGAGGCCCTGCACGCAATGGAGGAAGCGTGAAACAGTGCAGAGCAGGTAACAAGGGTGTGGACAGATTTCCTCAAGGTTTTTAACTGAGCCACAGCATTCCTACTGATTCCAATTCTGCAAGACTGGAGGTAGGTGCTAGCTTTCCAGCCAGTATTTTTACTGCCAGTTTTGAAATACGAGAATTTCCCTTGTCCTCCATTCCCAGCATAGGAACAGAAGAGCCCCTGTAGGCATCATCCAGTGTTGTCCCCACCCCAAAGTTGGGCTCCACAGTGCAGTCCTCATGACAGAAGCAATGCCTCTCTCGTCTTTTCTTGGAAAGCACCAGAAGATGAGCAGGGTCAGGGAATCTTTTGCTTTCTCACTCTTTCTGGGTATGAGCTGAGCCTATGGGCACTGAGAACTGCCTGCAGCTGTTATTATATACAGCAGAGAAAGACGGACTAAAACTTAAAATAATTTTACAAGCCAATTTCAAATAATTAATTTATCCTCTCAACTAGTTCCAAGATATGGATGTATTATAGCCTCCATTTTCACAATTACCCAAAGTGACTCGACAGGTTTAAGAGAGGAGCCTGGAGCTACACATGGAGCAATTGTCAGCCAGTATTAGGGCTCCATAATGTCCCAGACTTACTCTCCAAACAGACCCTGCCTTGCACTTGTCCAATCCAGTGAAGTGTAAATTAAAAAATGCCGAATCATGAAGCAGTGTAAACTTTGAATTGATTCATTCTCCAAAATTTTCACTTATGAACCTAAACAATCACTGTAGAAGTGATACTCTGCAAACAGATCATGGAGTTATTCTCTCAATCACATCTCAAATGCTGATCATGTGGATTAATAAGACCTAAATGCAACCTTTGGGGGGAAGCCTTCATTTTAAAAGCAATGCCTTCTATCCGGCATCTGCATTTCAACAGAAGTAAACTGTAACCACACTTCAAAAGCAGATGATGTCCTGTTTTTTTAAAGAATTTACCACTGAGGGGTTAGGATCAGTCTTCAGTCCTTCAGTGTGAAAATGAAGAAAACATGCCTAATGCATTTTAAAAGTCTTCCATTTCTTTGAATGTATTCCTTGTAGGCAAGAATGGAAAAAAAAACAACACTGAGACAAGCTCTTCCTTTTAAGTTATACTGAAGAAATAACAGTATGATAATTGCTGGTTTTCTGTAGAAGATAGACAGTAAATTATTTTAAAATACCTCATTATACTCCAGGCAAGTCATACTGCATCTTGCTTTTGCATGACAATGTATTCACTGCTACTTGGGAACAACAGTCTTAAAAGCTGCAGAGTGTCCTCAATCCAAACAGCTCCAATGAAATGAGTAAGAATATTAAAGTTATTTAAATTAAAAGTCGGATAAAAGCTACTGTCATTTTGGGTCACAGTAACTGTCAGCAAATCCAGATTTCTTTCCTCCCAACATTATTTAAAAAAAAATGAAAGAAAACATTCAATTATTTTTAATCACCTTTTCAGGTAATAATGTTATCCTATTATATTTTGTCTTCTATCCACTTTCCTTAGAAAATTCTGTATTTCTCTATCTCACCTATATTACATTACAGTTCCTGACAAGTCAGTTTGCTTCATTTCCACATCTTGAAACAAGTTACTGAGAAAAACAAGTGATGCAAAGAGCACTTCTTACTGAAGTGGATGTGGATTGGCCTCAGTGGAAGATGAGTAGGTTCAATAATTTCAGGATTTTGACAATAATAAGAATGGAACTCAAATAATTACTTTTATAAAGTGTACATTCTACAAAAGAGTTTCATAAATAGTTCGAACACTTCCATTTCGTCTGAAATATTCATTCTTTCATATAGAATGTAAAGTGTCTCCACTTCCTCCCACTGGTACAATTTAATCAAGAAGGACCGAGGAAAAATCGTAAAATCATAGAATCATTGGAAAAGACCTCTAGATCATCCAGTGCAGACATACCACATACCACCAATACTGTCCACAGAACCATGTCCTGAAGTACTACATCTACCCTTTCCTTAAACACCTCCAGGAATGAAGACTCCACCACCTCCCCAGGCACCTTGTTCCAATGTATCACTACTCTTTCTGAGAAGAAATTCTTCCTAATATCCAACCTGAACCTCCCCTGGCACAACCTGAGGCCATGACCTCTCATCCTATCTCTGTTAGCTGAGATAAGAGGCTGACCCCCACCTCACCATAGCTTTATTTCAGGCAGAGTGCAATAAGGTCTCCCCTGAGTCTCCTCTTCTTCAGACTGACCAATCCCATCTCCCTTAGCTGCTCCCCATCAGACTTGTGCTCCAGACGCCTCACAGCTTCATGGCCTTTCTTGGGATGTTCCAGGTCATCAATGCCTTTCTTGTGGTGAAGGGCCCAAAGCTGAACACAGTGCTTTAGTTGCAGCCTCACCAGAGCTGAGTATAGGGGGACGATCACCTTCCTGCTTTTGCTGGCTTTACTACAGGAGACTAAATCATCCTTACAGAAACCTAACTCTTACCAGTGTCAGTAAGAGGAATAACTTACTGAGATAACCAGAAACAGATAGCTGAAATAAAGATTAGAAAGTCTTCAGTAAACTACCAGAGAAACACAGTACAAGTCAGTCAAGTTAGAAGCTGTGTTATATAAAGCAAGGAAGGTGTGCACTTCAAGGTACAACAGAAAGTTCTTCCTTAAACTAGAGAGACAAGGAAGAGAATGTCTCCTTTTACATCTGCAAAGGTGAACCATGAGACTTACACTACATAGGCAGGCAATCTTCAGCTGCTGACAGCTAAATGCACCTATGTCTCTGAAGGAGGAATGAAGTATTCCAAATAAATTTTAATAGTGAATTACTAGTTCAGGTATATGCTTAAAAAAAAGAAGAAAAAAAAAAAAAAACCACAAGTCCTATATTCTGAGCCAGATAGGACCTAATCCCTTCTAGGAAATAAATCTTACCTGATCAACTGTAAAGACTTTGATCCTTTCACTTCCCAACCATTTCTGAAATTCTTTTTTCCAGTTTTTTACCAGACTCCCAGGGGTGACAATTAGTGCTCGCTTCAGTACAGGTTTACATCCATAGACCCCTTGACGCAGAAGAGTCCAGACAAGTGAAATACACTGCAATGTTTTTCCTAAGCCCATTTCATCAGCAAGAATAGCTCCAAATCTGCCACTAACTCTGTAAGACATAAGAAGCTACGGTAACATTTTAAAAGACGCATCTGTAATTACTCACAACCGGTTTAGGGAATTATTTCTCATGGGCATTTCGTTCACTATAAAGAATTTACTTATACTTACTATATGGTTATATGGTTATTATAGTCAGTAAGGACCAGAAGTCCCTAGAGCGAAATTCCTCATTTTCTAGATTAATGCACCAGCCCTCCAAAACCAAATAGTTTAAATCTCCTTTTAGAATTTAAGATATAACATAACACGTAATCCTTTTAACACTTGTATATACCTTCTTTTACTTTCACTGTACATACCTTCTTCAGCTTCTCTTTTCCAAAGGACTAAACTATAGATTATACAATTATAAATTAAATGAATTATAAACCCCAGACAGTGGTATGATTTAGCATGAGTCAGATGTGTTTAGAAGACGTGGTATTTTCAACAGAACTGACAGGCCCTTTGCTGTACTAGCATCTCATCACATCTGGCAAAGTCACAGCAAACACAATGCTACACAGAGGTCAGAAAAAAACCTGTGCAACCTTTACTGAAGAAAGATAATTAATATTAATTAACTGATCAACTTTTCAAATGCTCCCCTTCGAACTGTCTAATTGTTAAGATGGAACATGAAAATATTATAGGCACTGAAAGCCAAAAGGATAATTACGTTCTTACCTCATTCCCATTACACATTCATATAGAAATACAATTCCTTCTCTCTGATGTGGTCGGAGATTATTTGCAATGTAAGGATCCACCACTACATCCACCACGGGTAAACCAGCCTTGTTGAATGTGCACTGATGACTTGCATTTGGTCTTGGCATAACTAGAGAATCTTGAAGTACAAAAGATACGCAAATATTGCACTAAACTTCTCTTAGACTGTTAGCAAATGATATTATTCCTCTAAACAGCTACAGCAAAAAATCAATGTGATGAATGAAACAATTACTGGTTAACATATTGACCTTTTTCAGACAGAAAATGCATTTACCATCAAAGTATACAAAGTATCCATAGCCTCCAAAATAAAAATCCTGTTACAGAGGTGTCCAAAATAGTTTGCACTTTTCTGTAATGTAATGGTGACAAAGAGAGCACTCTGAGCATTGTTTCAGGAGATGAAACTGCCTACCTAATAAATGCAGCATGAGGACTTTGAATACACAGAGTTAAATCAGAAGAACGTCTAAAGGGCTTCTAAAAGGAAAATTTAAGAAAACAATGACCCACAGAAAAACTAGACTTAACATTTCAAGGGGATATTCTTGTAGCCCAGATTTCTGTAGCCCAAAAAGACTATTTTGTCTGAGAAACAGAGAGAGATAAGACGATTTGCCAAAATAGAGGGGAAGAATGAGAGTGAGCTGACAAAGGCTGCCACAGTGCATAAACACAAGAAGTTGACAGGTTTGAAGTCATACAGAGGCAAACAGAGCATGAAGCTATATCCTTTGGCTACATCTGAATAACAGGTTTGCTTGCCATAATTTGTTTACAGACTCTGATGTCATTACTTTGCTAGATGATGTCCATACACAGTTGCTGATATTGATGCTACAAAACCTCACTGAGAAGTTGTATCGTCAGAAGATAGAATGAGAAAGCAATTTACAGCTTCTAATATTTTTATGTTGTCAGAGAAGAACTATATTGATAATTTATTCATGGGAATAGATCTGTTGAAGACTTGAATCACTCAGAGGGATTTTGTTTCCTACTGACAAAAGGCAGAGTTCTGATGGATTACATCAAATTGCATCTGGATATATATAAAAGTCCAAGGTGATGAAAATATCTGTCAAAATTTTGCTGCCTCAAAGATGGGAAAGAAACAAGATTTAGATGAGTTATGGACTAAATCTTAGAAATCATACATGAAAGACATGATTTTATGTCTTTGTCAGTGTAGTCTGTTCTGTTGAGCACATAGACAAACAGCATTCTATTTTGAGGAAGTTGCTTTTTAATCAAGTATTTTCATTGACATCAACATGAAAACTTCTGAGTGTTCCCATCACAAAGTCCTAGTCTAGGAAAATACCTCCAGTACTTCTGAAAGAGATTATGCACCAAGGCATTACATAAATGATATGATTCTCCAAGGTTGAGCATCACTAACATGTGAGAGTCCAACCTACTGATGTCTTGAGAGTTCTCGGTATCAGGCAATATGGGGAAATCTCAAAGGAGGTGTTCAAATTCACCAGAAGTAACAGAAAGCAAAGTACCAGAATAAAACTTAGTTTTTGATGGAGTAGTGGATAAACAACAAAGAAGTTCATTTGAATACAGAATATGTCAGCTCTTTGCTAGATTTTAGGTTAGAAAGCTAATGCAGAATTGTCATGAAAATGCAGGAAGATGCCTCATTAGACCCAACTTAACCAAGATGAATTCAAACTAGAAGACAGTGCTAATGAGTTTGCTCTTACCCAAGTGCCAATGATATCACCAATTACCGTATAATCAAGATATCATTGTTTATTTACATAGTTGTTAACTAGCAGTTTTGTCAAGATTCGAGGTAAAAAGCTGGATAGAGGTAAAACTATAGTAAGAATATAGAACAACTCTTTTTTAAATAGTATTTCTTTGAAATCATCTTTCTCTTTCATCTGAAAGATAAAGCCATCAGCAGAATATACAAGGCCTGCTCTGAAAGTAATGCCTCCTATTTTATTATGTTGCCTCACGATGTCAGAAGCAGATGTTTGTGGTATGGCAGCACCAATATTCCACTACATCTTGTTACCATGCAACAGATGGCAGCAAAGGTGCAGTCTGATAAAACAGCAACTGACACTGAAGTGCGTATGAAGCAAAGATGTGCACCTGAATTCCTCCATGCGGAAAAAATTGCACCCACAGACCTTCACTGACACTTGTTGAAGTTTGTGGAGATGTTGTGGAGTGGGTGTTAGCACAGTGAGGTGGCGAGTGGTACATTTGAACAGTGACAACAGCAATGTGAGAGACAAGTCATGTTCTGGACAGTCATACAGATATTTACGAGTGTGGCACGCAGGCTACGACTCATTGCTGGCAAAAATGCATGGCTAATGGTGGTGACTCCACTGAAAAATAGTATTCTGTAGCTCATAATTTACTCTGTCTAATAGTGTTATGTTCTTTGTATCTCTTGTAGTTTCCACGGAAATAAATAGGAGGCATTACTTTCAGAGTAACCTATGTAATTTCAGAACTCTCATGACTCTTCAGTACAGGGCAGTTCTAGCATGACATAACAAAACTTTTATTCCAAAACATGTCTGGTCGAGTTTGGTTCAGTAAAGTTACACTCACTGGCTGTTAAGGATCAAGCACCATCAGGAGCAGTTATCTGCTCTTGGCTCTATTATCTGCTCTATTACTGACCCTACTGGGAAGATGCTTTGGAACTCATCTAGAACTTCTAGTGTATGTCAGATTGTTTCTCTGAACAACGTACACATTTTTCTTGGCAGAACTCTCAGAAATCACTTCTACAGAAGAAACCACTCAGAAACCACTTGCTTCCACAGCCATCTGTAACATCTGTGAGCAAAAGTGATGCACTGCAGAGCATTCTACTTGTTAGAAACATATGATAAAATCCTAACATTCTGTTGACAGAAAAACCACTACTGTATTTCAGAAATACTTCAGTAATACATTAAGGAATTTGAAAATTTTGGTTACACACTCAACTTTCCTGAGAGCCAAAGGCTACTTAAATAAGCTTAAAACTTTGAACCTTACTTGCATCATTTGGATTGTGACGAGGTTTGCGGCTCTGAGAATTGAGGAGAATATTCTCTTTAGTACTGGGTTGGCAGGCACTTTTGATTGGCTTACAGAATTGTTTCATGGTAGTTTGAGGTAAAGCAGTTGGGACTGTGTCATGAGTCGCTATTCCAGTCTGAAAACACCTGCCACTGCTGAAGTCATCTGCTGAAATTACACCCATCACTTCAATTTCTTTTCCTCCAATCATCAGTGTTTGACCTTCCTCAAGACTGTCTAACTCTTTAGATTTATACCCAGTACCTAAAAAAAGATCAAAATTTAGGAATTAGGACAACACAGCAAATACTACTTCCTTAACATCAGTACTTATCTGCATTAAGGATAAATAAAACTGTCAACAGGTCTATCTTCGTGCAAGATCATTTGAATTCCAGTCTGAAAAGCTTATTTCTGAGTCAGGATGGGCTTTAAAGGTAGATGTGAACTTAAGAAAGACAAAAAGTGAATCCACAAAGCTCAAATGTTTATGCAGCTGCCTGAAATAATTTTTTCCATAACACACAGCAAATTAAAAGAGAGGGCTTCCTAGATTCTTAGTAATATACTATTAAGAATTTAGGACACCTGCAGAGAAGAAGAGCAAGAAGTTCTGCTGTCTAGCTTCAAAAACAAGCTAAGCCAATGCTGTTTTTAGGTTTCCATATTCCTTCTTAAATCCTGCCCTGGTATGCCTAAGTAAAAAATAAACCAAAAGCTTCCTTTTACTCTTTTTTTTCCATTTTAAAATAGTAATTCTGGATGCTCATTCACATTCACTGTAAAACTGCTAGTGTTAAATGCAATTTTGGAGGTAAACATAAACACCAATACCCCTCACTCAGAGTGCCTGTAGAATAATTGAAGAAATTTAAAAATTACACTGCTTAAATTGGTGAATTTAAGAAGTTTTTCTTAGAATCCATGAACATGGAAAGCAGATCAGCACCAGTGACATTGGTACCGCTGTGCTCCCTGTCACAAATAAACATTAAAAAAACTTTAGCATTGGGAATCAGAATATTTGTGTTGTGTCCTATTGTGTTTTCTGCTAATTCAAGAAGACACAACAACAGGGTGGTGGCTGATGCATTCCAGGCATTGCTCTTTCTCTCTGCCTTTTTCAAACCCAAGCAAGTCTGTACATATCTCGCTTCGCTATGGCTGAATTCGAATTAACTTCTAAGTCACTGATTTAAAACTGCATGGTCCTAACATAGCTCACAATGTCATGGTTGCAATTAAAAGAGCAGAGGAGTGAAGTCAGCCCCAAAATTAATCAAATTATATTTTGTACCAACACTGTCCAATCCAAATTCCTTACTAAATATGTTTGGCTTAGTTAGCAATGCTAATTCTTGCTTTTCTTTCAGTAAAAAATACTACCTCAAATTGACTGCAGCCTACAGTTTGCAAGTCTTATTTTTAACTCTGATAACAACCCAAACTGTGTCTTACAGCAGCAGCTGCTGCTAAAACTGCAAGATTAAAAATTGCTACACAGTTGACTTTGGCTGGAAAATGTTGCTGTTATTCGTCTTTCTGACAAAGATAATAGTTTTAGCTGCTTGATTGGATGAAAAGTACGGATCCAACCTCAGACATTCCCAGTTCCCACACTACTGGCTGGAACGTCTACAAGAAACTTACTTGTCTACCTTCTTAATTCTCACACCTTCTCCAATGCAGTACAAGAGCACCCAAAATGAACTCCTGCCTCATTTAGCATCTTTGCTGAATTAGTACAGCCCCATTTCCAGATCCTCTCCTTGGACTCCCATTTGGTGCTTCTGTGAAGAATGTTACACAGCCTGCTCCAGACTCCCCCATGCATCTGCTTTATACGTAAGAAACAAAAAGCTTTCTTTCCATTTCCCTCACTGCAAAAAAAAAACCTAATCTTTTCTCATTCAACTTTGGTACTGAGAACTCCAAAATATCTAAAAAGCTTTTCTCTGTTATTGAAAGCATATTAATTTTAGGCTAGCTGTTCACTTACACACAAATGCAAATGTACAGTACCTCTGCCAATGTCTTTGCCTTCCATGTCTTTCAATATTACTGACTTTCCTTTTGTAATAAGAATAGCATCGCCTTCCCACTTCTTGTGCTTCTTCTTTGATGCCTTACACCACATAACACTGAAATACTTCGTGAGGCAGTCAGGTTCTTCCTGCGCTGCTGCTTCCTTTGCCATCCCTGATGTTGGCAAATACATTGCATCTAAAAGGGAAATAAAACAACAAAGGATATCTCAAATTCTCTTGATGAAGCATATATTCATTTCCATTTCAAACAAATGCATTTCATCTTACATAAACGAAGTGGCATGCATCCTCTCCTGGGCTGCTTACGTTAAGTGTGGAGTGAGACAGAATAGCACGTAAGGACTCATCCTGAAATAAGAACCATTAAATTGGTTTTGGAAAGTATGTGCTTTCTGGAAAAGGACATTTCTTGGTGTGTTACTCAAAGAGATCCTGATTTGTCAGAATGGATGATAACCGTGTAAAAAGAATAAAAGGAAAGACTGGGGAAAAAAAAGGGAAACGAGAATGGGAGAAAAGGACCAGTCCTGATGAAGTGGTGCTGGGCAACGTTCTGGAAACAAGGGCAGGAATACGAGGTTCATGACAGGAAATAAAGGAGACCATTACACAGGTCTGAAGCTGAAGTCATTAGTACTAAGATGCAGAATAGCTGTAACTGTAATAATGCAAGAGATTACTTCAACTGCTTTCCTCATTCTCTTTAAATATAAGTGATTATGTAAGTGTTGAAACAGACCATCTCATGAGCATGCAGCAACCCAAATGCTGTTACCGTGCTCAGGCTGACTTTCATTTGTCAGCAGTTAACTCATTCTAAGCAACACAAATATAAAAGCTAATACAAAATGTTTAGATTAATAAGGTTAAGAAATTATAATAGAACTGACAGCAGTTGATCATAATATCGATTAAGAATAAATGCATGCTTCCAAGAGTTAGCTATCTGACATGAGCCAAGTAATGGCAGACAAGCCCTCAGCATTATCTAAAGGAATATCTGTAGCATTCCTTTTCAGCACATGCACAGCTTCAAAGAGAGAATCAGACTAATTTTCATTAAAATACCCTTGCGTGCTGGTTAAAGGCTTAAATCGGTTTGCTCCTTTGATTCCATCTGGGATTGAACACTGCAGAAATCTGTTACTTATGCCACAGACTAACCTTTCCACAGTTTCCAAGTGTGCTGGTGTTTAAAGGAAAGATGGCAAGAGCAGAGGTCTGCTTACAATAAAGATGAAGCAACTTAATAGTAATGAGGCAAATTCACAATAAATAGAGGCAACTACATAACTTAAACAACAGGCCTACATTTTCTTAAAACTGAGAAACACTAGCATGTTATATGCCTAACTGAGCGTGCAATTTTTGATATTTTAAAAGTGCTATATAAATGAAAAATTGTTTTTCAGGGCATTAGCCAGTGTCTGTGTATCTCTTGTGCCAGGTGCCCCACCTCCAAGGGGTAACAGAGCAGCTACTGGGTACAGGCACAGCAGGCACAGATCCACTCAGATGGAACCTGGGAAATGAGCCAGAGAGCAAGAACAAATCCCTGCAGTTTTGCAAAAAGGTGCAAGGGTTTTACTGGATCGTCAGCAATCACAAGAAATATGATTTGAAGGAGCAATGGATAGAGAGGGAGAAAGAGAAAACTCTTACTGTGCTAAAAATAAAAGATATTTGATTCTGCTTTAAGTTTCCATACGTCAACTGATTCAACAAAAGAAATGCAAGACAGTTTTCTCTTTGTTTTTGGAACCAGTTCTCGTATTTTAATCAGCAACTGCTATTCCTTTCATCATTTAAAGATTTTATATAAGTTACTGTAAGAATGAAGGAGACTTTGTTGCAGAACTTTCTTCTCTTTTGAGGGATGCTCATCACAACCAGAAATGACCTCCTGTTCTCCTCCATTGACTTCCCACATTAATTTGGTGACCCCTAAGATCTGTTTTATGGTCACTGCTCTTTTACTCAGGGAGTTCTGTTTGTTGTTATATGAATCACCAATAGATTAACTTTCAGGTCGATAACAATTCCTCAAAGTCTTCTTAGCCCCACTTCAGGTAAAAATAAAATCAGAAGAATAATTTTAAAATACTATTGGAAACTGCTAGCATTTTGTAGCTGCTAGCTCTTTTTGGAGAGAAGGATTTCTAAAGCAAACTGCCCTCAGTGAGCAGCAAACTGAATGCCAGTATATAATATATAGTATATAATACTACCACGTTCCTATTGAAAAACTGAAAATGAACAGAATGTGATGCTCAGGTTTCTTCCCTCAATTTGTCTTTAACTTACTGTAATTTCTGTTTACAACACTACCCAATAATGATTTGTTTGTCAGTGCCACATAATGTATTCTCCTTTTACCTATAACTACAGCAGAGTTTCAGATTAACAGTGTTAAGGTCTTTTTCTTTCTCTGCAACCAAAACCTTGCTGGCTGCTGATGGTAGGCACCACCTTAGAGCTGGTTTTGCTGAGATCCTGACTACAGGTTTCAGTTCTGCACTGCACTGTTAATCAGTTGGGACTGAGAATAATAAATAACAGGAACTCCGTGTACGCCAGACTAAGAGGAAGATCAGGGAATCATGCCCAAGTATCTCCCTCCCAAATGGCTAACTGCCTCCCAGGGAGTGCAAGAAAATGCAGCAAGTGACAGATTTGTCCTCCCACAGTGAAGGGCTGGGGAATCTTAAAACCTTGGGTGATAAGGCTTTAAAATCTTCCACAAACAGGAACATACCTGGCTGGAAAGCAAGGGATTAGGTTTCAAGATAGAAACTATTGCTTACTCGATATGAGAAACAGCTTCAGCCACCTTCACGGAGGTGATGATTTACAGAAAACGGGACAGGATCCAGGAAAGGGAATCGAGGGAGCGTTCCAATGGCAAACCAGCTTAACCAGTTTCTGAAGGGCAGGAATTAAAGAAAACCTATCGATGAAATGTGCTGGGTTACTCCCAGAGCGCTGAGAAAGCTGCATTATGAAACACCACAAAATGTAAATCAGTGTGCATTTTGAGGAGTCTTTACAGTGTGGCTGGCAGCTGTGTAACTGTGCATTATAAGGAGCTTGGCATGCTCCAGTGAGCAGCACACCATACCCTCAGCCCGAGGTGTGGTTTAATGGATGGCTTAACCCCATCTATCTGCAGGCTGCTGCCAAAACCCGTGAGTGTCCTCCTCCTCCCTGCTCCCACGCTGCTGCTCGTCCAGCAGCTTAGCAGCTGAGCAGCCAGGGCACATGGATCGATGAATCACATGAGCAACCAAAGTCAATACAAGGAGAGGGAAACGTGGTTCTCAACAAGGAGACGGTGTCTTTCCTTGCAGCTGCCACTGTTAAGCTGAAGTGGTTTTGGAACCATGGGATCTGTCAAGTTGCTTAGCAGTTCTGCACCTGGACTTTCACATTGTGACTGAGCCTCTTAAACAAAAACACATTGTCAAAATGCAAAAACTGTAGCTTAAAGAAAACAACTTTGGTTCAAGTTGTGTTTTACAGTATAAAAGAATAAATTATTTAAAAAAAAAAAAAAAGAGAGAGAGAAAGAAAGGGGTAGGCAGAGCCAAAAATCTGGACCGAGATAAAAGGAGATTTGGCCTCTGAATCACAGCTGAAACTCAATAACAGTGTCTACCCATAGTCTCTGCAGCCACCTCTGCATACGTGTCATCCACCTGCTCTGCAGATCCAACATTGGCCCTGTCGTCTGAGCAGAGGCATTTAACAAAGCTGAGAGAGCAGACGTGTACATAGAAGTTAAGTATCTTGTTCTATATGAAATATCTGTGTTAAACACTTCTAAGGTATTCCAGGAATGTTTAAAGAAATATTAGACAGAGATAGCATCATCGTTCATTTGCAAAGCAATTTCAGTCTAATGATAACTTTAATATTAAGCTAACATGTAAATGCATATTACTTGGCCTTGAATATAGAAAAATATGTCATAAGTCTTCTCACAGAGCTCCTATGAGACATTTTATGAGGGGTGCAGCATGAAGATTTGAGGTGACTTGCCCTTTTATCATAGGAATCAATGACAGATGGGATCACATCTGAGTTGCTTGATTACAATCCAGTGCTTCATGCCCCTATTTTAAACACAAAATGTGTAACACTGAATTTGTCCTGCACGCATCAGCATTGCTGCCAAAATGAAGCCACCATTACCAGAGAAGCTCATAGTGCTATCAGTATTTAAGTACTGTGGATGAGCTGTGAGGACTTGAAATCCTGACAGAGAAAGGCCTAATTTTAATAATTTCATCAGTACTGAAGAATGTAGGACATTTCTTGACGTGAGACTTTTAAAGATTTTGTTTGTTTGTTTTAAAAGTTAAAGCATAGACGGTTTACTTTTTGCTATTTTTACTTATGCCATAAAACTGAATGAGCTTGTTGAATGTGAAAATTAACTCACCTAAAGAATGTTATTGCAAACAGGAATATTTTCTTTAAGAAACACATCATTGTTTTACATCCAAACTTATTTTTAAACAAAAATACAAATGCTCAAACACTGACCATAAAATACTGTTTTATGAGAACAGAAACCAGAGATGAACGCAATTTTGGTCAGAATAAATATTATTCCTTGTAGAATTTCTATTAAGTCAATGCTCTGGAGAAGAATTTAGAAATTAGGGGAGAAGGCAGCGCTTCTTTTTTGTTTTTGGCCAGGGCAAAACTTTTTCCATCCCTGAGAGCTAAATGCTTTTGGAAATAAACGCACTTTGCACATTCTGTGCAACTTAATTTCCTGAGGATTACACAGTGGACATGCTCTAACTGAGGCCGAGAATAACTTTCTCTGTAGTCACAGCTCTCACTGCTTGGACCAAAACTGGGTCCTTTCCAAACATGCCAGCAGGGAATTTGTTCTTCTCAATCAGAGACAGTATCTCCCTTCCTGAGAGAGAAAATGAAAAGATGGCAGCAGGGATAAGGAGCAAATACATGGAAGTGCTCCTTGGGAGAAGAAGCCTGAAAAGAAAGTCTGCTACCAGAAAGGAAAGCTTATTGCACCTCGTCTCTGTCCTTCAAAATTCAAGGTTCAGTAAAAACACATGGCTTGCTGGAGGCCACCAAGGGAAATCAAGGAAAGACCTAGGAGGAGGAGATGAGGACAGGAGCTGATTAGGCACTGTCAGGGAA